GGCAAAGTGTGAGACGCTCCATTTCTTAGGATTTATGAGAGGATCGATGACAGTTTCTTCGTGATGGACACCAACCAGGCAGCAAGAGAGGAAACTCAAAGTCTCTGGAAACCCAAATCTACATCAAACTTCCTACCATGGTATTTATGATCTTAGAAATGACTTTCCAACCATTTTGGTCATCTAAGTTTTGGAAAATGTTTTGATATTGGTTGTATCGTAGGCAGGGTTAGCTCTGAGATTTATTACACAATATATCAACTGCAAGTAGAAAAAGGAGCTCTGCAGGAAAATAACCAAAGCCTGCAGAACCACATTCAAACCCTGCAGGATGAGGTCCATTCCTTGCAGGCAGACAATCAATTTATTCGTCAGCACTTCAAAACTGCCAAGCAGAAAGTGCTGGATGTGTTTGATTTTATTCAAGGAGCACAGAGTTGCATCGAGAAGACATGTCGTCAGGATATGGCTCTGATCTTGAACCAAGCTCCTTAAGAGATGAAACAACCCAGCTGAAAAAGCTCAGTAAAGAACCAAGCAGCCAGGATAACTGAGAGAAGAAGTCTAGTTTTCTCTGCCTTTCCTGAAAACAATGGCTTTGACTGTGGAGCCCCTCCATTACGGAAAGTGCTCCAGTCCCCTGACAGCTGTGACACCTTTTCACACCTTCACAGGTTTGAATCACCACAGGGGAAGGGGGTGATTCTTCAGCCCCAGAGGTAGAGATAATATCAGGCCCTCTTCTGCCACCTGTAAGTTCCCACTGCATGGTTCACAGCTGAGAAGTAACGACACATCAGATAACTCAGATGTCTCCTGTTCACCCAGAGATCAAAGAATGCGCACAAGGCTCATTGAAGCTCTTGCGAAGGATGTAGAGTGGTTTATTCCAGCTAACCCACACTTCAGCATTGATTTTTACCTTAGAGAGGTCAACCTGTGCCTCTGTGATTTACCTGATGCATCCACATGAGAAAAACTCAGGCTGATCTAGAAGACAACTTTCAGGAGAGTTCATGTCTTCATGAATACCCTCCAGCCTGAAGTCAGAGACCAGAACTCTGCGCTCTGCAATGCTTTGCGTCAGGAATACTCTACCTACATCGCCCCTGCATCTGCCGTTCTTGGAGCTTTCAGTGTCTTCCACCAGAACCAAGAGGCCCCCAGAGATTATTGCTGGCGCCTAAAATCAGAATATTTCCAGGTACATAATGCTCCAGGTTTGGAAGGGGACCAAACTTTCAAGTTCATCTGGGGTTAAGTGTCTTGCCCAAGGAAACATCGGACATGTTGCTGCAGGAGCTGGGGATCGAACCCTCGACCTTCCGGTTGAGAAAAGATGACTGGACCAACTGAGATACAGCCGCCCCCAATATGTTTATGCTGATCCCCTATATGATATGTTCAGTCGTTCCAGCAGTCTGCTAATGCTTGGACTAGCTCATTGAGCTGTTGTTTGGATTGTACCACTGCTTGATTTAAGAAGGGGGTAAAGGGTTAGGGTTAGGGTTAATATACTTCTAACTAGTCCAGCATCTCAAATTTGTATTAGTAAGGGCCGGAAGATGAGTCTGGATTTCTTCATCAACAGATTGTCTTATACCCTAGTAGAAAATAACTGTGGTCACAAAAAAAACTCTGGAGAAGTTTAAAGTTTGTAGCAGAACAGTTTATTGAGTAAATCAAAGCTAAGAAGTCAATAAACCTGACTTTTCCAGAAAATGCAACAATTACAGAACAACCCTATAGATTGTCTTCATCTTCCGGATACTTTCCCTCCACCTTTCGGTAAGCTGAAGTATGCTCCAAGCCTACTAGCGACAATTGTCTCCTCCTGGCTTTATCCAGTTCCAGCCGGGTCCACTTGAATCTAAAGAGTACTGTAAAGGCTTACTCTGTCTCAACAGCCTCCTGCACAGAGATTTTTTCTGAAAACCTGAGGTTTGCATATGATTTCTTGCACACAATAGTAGGCTATTTGGATTAACATAGTTTTGAACACAGTCTATAATTCAACCTGTTGGGTAAATTTTAACATCATGTATGTTGAAGGAAGAATGTGCGACATGTTACACATAAATTTAGAAGAAATCAAATATATCCTGTGTAAATGTGTCGCCGAGTCCTGACTGTCTACAATGAGTGAGCAGCTCGAGTCTCACTGGCTGTGTTGTTGTCAGAGTCGTGTTTACATGGACAGGATGGCCGGCTCCTCCCCTTGTTTATAGAAGCTGTTTTAGTCAATTACTATAGAAAAGAAGAACATTCTCACTACTTATTTGGATGTCATGTAAGGGTTTTTAGATCACGCTCATTCTTCGTCCATTTATGTACAATATGAAGCTAAAGAGCGCTAACATTAGCCTGCTAGCAGAACAATGCAGGCCACAGGCAATTGCCGCATGAGCAAAGTACATTTTGTCCACCACTTGCGCTTAATGGTGCGTTCTCATAGATAACTCCTTTGTGTGAATACGAGTGGAGAGAGGTTGGAGTTATGTCGCTGGAGAAGACGGAGTCTTCAATATAACGGAGTTGTCACCAAACAGCAGTTTGTTTTGGTTTAATGCTGATGCTCAAGGGCGACTTCTACAGGGTCAAAACGTCGCACATTCTTCCTTTAACTAAACATAACATTGTTTTAAACACAGCCTGTATCTCCAGCAGACTCATAGGCATGAAGGAAGTCATTCACACAGGGATCAGGATCTGCAATTTTTTCTGGAACAAGAGGACATGTAAGTTACACACAGACAATGAATGGTGTAGTGTCTCATTCCTGAAGCAAGTCAAACAGTATGCAAATTAGAGAAAATGCATTTAACATCTAAAACCAAATGCAATAGTCCTATACATCTTAACAAAAGACTACAATGAAATGTTTAAATAGTTTGAAGCAGGTTTAACAACTTTATCACTCGCTAGCTTTAAACAAAGGGAGAGTACGGGGAAATAGGGCAAAACCTGGGCGACCATCTGGGGTCAGGGCTTGTCAGGTCCGTCAGAGATTTAGCAGTTCTAATTGGTGTAGTGATAACAGCAGAGTTGACACTGCTTGCGGCTTGTCAGGGGCTTTTTGTCCAATTCAACATATAGAGTCGTCGGCAACTTAAGGCGGGGTGAATAAACTTTAAGTCAAGAGGGCATGCAAAGAATTCTCTTCTCTTCCGTCTCCATATCTTCTGACATTTTCTCAGGGCGAGTTAATAAGAACTAAGCTTATTGTTAAGCTAAACAAGTGTATAAACGTTGCCATTTGTATATCCTCGGTTTCCTGTTTTGTGTGACATATATCAGGCTGCCAACACCAGCTGGTTTAGAGAGTTATTGCCTCTCGGGCATGCGCAGAATGCACAAACTAAATGGCGGTAAGCTGCTATCAGTATGGTGCGTACAGTGTCACTTTTTGGCCCAACAGCAGCAGAAACACAACGTTGCATTGAGTTTTGGTCGAAACTTGTATGCCGTAGTCAGTTTGATGTTTATCAGCCTTTAGCACTAGCTCCAGGCATCCCAGGCTGCCCCTGCTTGGCTGTCTCCAAATCCAGGCCGGACTAAATTTAAATCTCCTTGTTCTCTGTCGTTAAACAGTGCAACCTTCCCATCTAAACAAAACTTTCAGTGCCCAGTCTTGCTTAATCCCCCCCTCCCTTCCACAGAGCGACCCTAATATGTGTACATTTGTTTCATTTGCAGCACGTTTCAGCCGTTGGAATTGCAGTGTTTCTGTATTAGCCACTTCATAGTTCGCTTCTCTGTTTCTTCTCTAGTTCCTTGACAAAAACTCTTCCATCAGGGTTTGTTCTCCATTGTATGCTGGTCACATTGGTCCCCCTCATCTGCTGCTTGATCTAAAAAACAAAACAAAAACGCGATTAAAAATTTGAATACAAAGAACGAAAGCCACCTGACCACGTCGATCATCCATACATCTCTTCTGAAGTCGTGTTTGATCATGCGAGTTTCTGTGAGATCTTGTGTCTGTGGAATCATTACTACATGGTGGTGTGTGGTCTCACAGTCTGACTGAATCATCTATCACAGTGATTCTCAAACTTTTCACAATGAGTACCACCACAGAAAATATTTGGTACCACCATTATGACCAACATTGAAATACAGTAGCGTAAGGCTATTTAACTACATTACAGTTTACACACATGCACTGCAGCCTGGGCTCATTCTCTGTGCGGCTCCAAAAGAATCAAAACTGGATGTGACTCGAGTCATATTTTCTTACTGTTTTGTATCTTACTGCTTACGTCGCCTCTTGCACCTGTGCTGGGTTCACTGTCGTTGTCTTCAGTTCCTGCTCTGCTGCTAGACGTAACTGCCGCACTTATATTTCCCCGTTTGGAAATATGGTAACCCTCATATTTGCTTCCTTTGCATGCCATCACAGCTTTGCTTGTCAAACATTTGATTTGTACATCTTTATTCAAAAATAAAACAATCAGAGACTCCCATATAAGAGACTTCAAGTGTGCAAGATACTTGTACCACAGTTTGACAATGAATGGTCTAGTTTGCGCGGTCTGTGATCTGTTACATTTTCAAACTCAGTTAAGATTGAAAATAGTCTACTGTATAGCCAGGTTTAGTTTACTATTAGAGGAGTGTGACAGCATGCTGGTTATATTTCTGCTTGCATTATATTTAATTCTCATTATTCACTCTGCGTATAACACAAAACACGCTATTTGTATTCGACTCACCTGTTTCAGGATGTCTTCTTTTATTGCAGGATCGTTGAGATCCAAGCCTGAGTCCTTTGAGCTGATCCTCACTTTCACAATCTTCTTCACAGACCTTCCCAAACCTGATATCAAAGAGAGAGACACACACGCATATTTAAGTCTTTATGACTTAACAAGTCATGGGTGTAAACTAAGATGACGATCTACAATTTAACACAAGGATTTGTTTTTTTGACAATCCACAAAATATTTTGTCCCCTATTTGACACTGAAAAAGTTGGCAACCTCAGTCTATGGTGTAAGCTGCTTCTCACCCAAGAGAATCAGAGTTACACCCTGAACCTCTGCTCTAGCCACCGCTGCAAACCTGAAAAGGATAAGGGGCATGGATAATGAATAATGGATTGTAGAGAGAATTAAGATGTCGTACCTTTCTCACAGGTGCAGAGGAATTTGAGCTTGAAACCACATGCACGTATGTAAAATCTATCATCATTCAAAGCAGTGCATTTGTTAGATGGGTCATTGTATATCTGCATGTCAGTTTTCCAATATCGAAACGAGGAGTCACTCCCATCAGACCACTCCCAAGGGTCTCTGAAGAGGCCAGTCCACACCTTCTGGTCACCAACTACTTCCTGAAGTGCATGATTCTCTTCCTTGTTCCTCACACTGGCCAAGTCTGTGTGTTGACGCCTGCAGTGCTCTTGAGCAACCCTCCAATTCATTTTTTGGGGGGTAAGGATGTACTGTTGAGGACCTTTTTCTAAACAAGAGAATAAGCAAATCAATCACTTGTTTATGTTTTTTAATTACTTCAAGTCCATGTTTACACGAAAACAAGTTCTGCATTCATACACCCGATTTGTATATGGATCTGCATAAACAACTTTAAACACTGTAGCATATAAGCCAGGCCAGTAATTAGCGGCACCAAATTGATCCAACATCGGACAATTCTGTGTTTTAAGGAACGGGTTGAAACCCTATTGTTAACGGACCATGAGGTGGGGTTGTTTCTCACAGTAACCCTAAACTACAAAGAGAAAAACTAGAGGTCATGCGAGTCCAAAGCTCCCAACATTAACCATTTTGGTTGTTGTGCAATTGGCTGCTTTCTCAAAGGGTTAGGTAAGCGTACAAAAATTCTCAGCTTTTAGAGGAATTTCATATTGCCAATTAACACTCACCGTCAAAGCAAACTGCGTGGAACTTGTTTGTACATTCAGATGCAGTGAATTTCCCATTTTTATAAGTACCACAGTCTCCACCGGTTTCATCCCTCTGAATCAGGTCGTCCATTTCCCCCTTAAAGGAATCTTTCTGCGCTAAAGACCAGTGCCAGTTCAGACTCTTGCCTGACCTAAGCCCAATCCACACAAATGAAAACTTGTATTCGTTAAGTAGAGTTTGCATCTTTTCCATGTCTTCTACAGTGGCCAGGTCAATGCAATTCTCTCTGCAGTAGGCTCTTGCCTGAATCCAGGTCTTATTTATTTGGAACAACTTTAGATACCGGATTGCACTGGACAGAGCAAACAGACCTGAGAGAGAGAAATGGAACAACTTAGTGATGTCCTTTTTAAAGATGGAGTAAAAGAAAAGGTTACATGCAACTTTCTACAATTCATGTATCAGGATCTAGAGAGGAGGAAACAACGTCAGCAAGTGCAAACGAACAGCTTTAAGTCCGATCAGACACAGGTACTGACAGGAAGTGACCAGAGGCAGAGCACAACATCAACAGCTGTTCTTAAGAGTTCTGATCAGCATCAAAAGCATCCTAAAATATCATTATCGTCAACATGAAACAAAACCATCATCATCAATAACAAGAGGCTGAGTGAGGTCAGCCATCTGTTGCTGCAGGGAGGTCTGGAGGCTCATCAGCAGCAGCCGCCATGCTGGAAATGCTGTCTCAGCCTAACTTTCAGTCAACCTAACGACAGGCTGAGAGCTGGAGCTGGGGTGGGTTTTAAGCCTCTTGACACACTGTTACATCGCGCCCACCTGTCAATCATGTCAGCTACATGCCTAACTATGTATACCAGCGCACCGGAGCTAGATAGATACTTTATTGATCCCGAGGGAAATTCAAAGCATCCAGTAGCAGGTTACAAAGACGTACATGACATGAAACATTTGTTACAAATTAAACCACAAAACCGATGCCCCCCTCCCATACATATATATTGACCTGAAAAAAAGATTTAAAGGATCCCCCTAGATGAATCAAACTTAAACTGTGCAATCAAAATGAGACGTATACAAGAAATGTACATAACCCGTGCAGCGATAAAAATATATGTGCGATTTAAACAAGAACCTATAAACAGTTGAGGAAAAAATCTGTAATTAGACCTGAATATAAAAAATTTAAATAAAAAGTGTTGACCTTCTGAAGTTGAGTTGTTTATATATGTACAGCAATGTTTAAAAAGCAGATAGTGCAAAATTATTAAAAGCTAGTGGAAGCATACACATTGAATAAAGTAAAAAAATGAGCTCCGCTGCTGTAACGAAGCGAGACCGACCGAACACGCATCTGGTGAAATGCAAAGGTCAGTGTTTGAAGCTCATTGCACGCCAAAACTCTTAAAAAGTGCCGGGAAAAACGGAAATCAGACAGATGTCCTATGATACATGAGAGAAAAGAAAATGGAAGATCACAGCATTTATAGCCTGGGGGTCCCTGCTGATATCCCCCAGATCTACTCCAATGTGGGAAGTGAGTCCAGGTGCTGCAGAGGATTCTGGGAGGTTTTTGCAGGTCCATTGTCCCTTTTTGGGGCTACAGGCCGGAGTCTGTCTAACACATAGCTGGTCCCAACACCACTTTTCACAATGCATTGTGAGATACAATAATGCACTGTACAGGGTTTAATAACGCTCTCTCAGAATTGGGACACTAGTACAAAATGGCGTGTTCATATAGCGAGTAGTTTATGATTTCGGACACAGCTCAGTTCAGGGCCAGAAGAGGAGTCTGGATTCTGCCACAGACTCCTCGTCAAAACTAAATTTAAGTGTATAAAATACAAAAAAATCCCTGGAAAGGTCCGAAGTTTGGGGCAGAAAAGTTTATAGAATTTTTAGCATCAGTATATGAATGTACACTTACCTGACAGGAGTAGAAGCAGGTGAATCTTTTCCATCGCTGTTTAAAGAAGAGGAAGTGCACTCACTGCAACAATTCTTCTCACCATAATCTGTGGTGCTGGGAATATTGTCAAAAACAATTGAACCTTTAGCCAAAGACAGAACAAAGATACTTTTTTTAAAACAACCAACCTAAATTGCGATTAATTGTGATACATTTTCTGTATTGTTTGACAGTCCTATTTAAATACGTAGTTAAAATAACAACACAAAGGCAGAAAATAAAACAGAAAAGTCGTAAAATCATCCGGCTTTGAAATAAAATCAGAATCAATTTGACAATTTGAAATAGTAAGAAGCTTTAAAACAACAGTGCTCCTGCTGACAGGGGAAATATATCAGTACATGAAACAACAATTATTTGATTGCTGTTTAAAGTAATCCCAAAGAGAGAACATAGATGAGAGCAAGAAACAGACTCACCTTAGTGTCTGTCTTCAGACGCTCGTCTGTCTTCAATGCTCGTCTGTCAGCGTCGTGGCGTGCACGCTCTCTCTCTTCTGTCGCTTATATGCTTTTTTTTTATTTAAATGTATTCAAACTTTTCATAATAATAAGATACATATTTGTTTGTCTCTTCGACTGATTTGTCTGGACATGACAGCACAGACAGACTCACAGGAAGTTCTTCATCTTGGAGGTTTGCTTAAACCATGATCATCTCCAGTGTCCGATTAGGCAAATTGTGAGGAGCTTCATTTCTTCCAATTCTCGAGAAGATCGTTGAATGCTTCTTTCAACCAGGCAGCAAGAGATCTAGACTATTAGATGATGATGACGGATGCACAATCGTCACTCCTGCCCTTAAGCTAACTGAGTGACATTGAGAACAGTAAGGGCCAACCTGTCCTGTGGCATTATGTTGGCCAAACAAAGGTACACAAAAAAGGTATACCTACAGGCTGTTGTTCCTGCATGTTTTAAAGCCAACGCCATCATGCCAAAGAAGTCCATTAACATCCTGCTTCATTGAATATCGCCCTGTCGCTCTAACCCCTATCCTAATGAAGCGCTTTGGAATTCATGTCCCACATAAAATCCATCCTACCCACAGCCCTAGACCCATTACAGTTTGCATACTTAGCTAACTGGTCCACTGAAAATGCAATTTGTTATGCTCTCCATCTGGCTCTCAGCCAAATAGACATAGTCATATAGTCATATTTTGGGTGATGAAAACGTACTGTTCAGAACCTGTTTCTTTTACTAAACCAGTCGGAGGAACGACTTCCCAACTTGGAAACTTGGAACCCCCGAGCTGCACTTGAATGCAGCCTTAACACACAGGGGTAATCAGACAAAGGTGAAGGTAGAAGATCATGTCTGTTTATTCCTTCGACTGATTTGTCTGGGCATCACAGCACAGACACCAAGTTCTTCATCGAGGACGTTTGCTTAAACCATGATCATCTCTCCTCCAGTGTCCCGAGACCTCTCCAAACTCAATCTTTTTTAAAACTTATATTAAACATTTTTGATAATTAACAATAATAACACAGCCTATAACTTAAAGATTTTCAGTCACGTGTTAGTAATGTTAAATGAAATAAAAATGTCAGCAGGAGGAAGTTACATAAGCACCATTCATAGTGTTTTGCAATAATCATTAGTTGCTCTTTATGTGACTCTCAGGCAAATTGTGAAGAGCTTTATTTCTTTGGGAGAAGATCCGTGTCACAGTTGGGAAGTCTTTCTTCCGACTTCAGTGTGTTCACGTAGCCTTAATTTCAATTTGGAAAGTCGAATTGTACAACAACAGCAAAAAATCTACGAGGAAGATTTGTGGAATGTCTCTGTTACAAGCAAAAAGTTGATGTGCTAATTCTTAATGACGAAAAATGTGCAGCGGATCATTAATAACATAAATATTTTTTTTGTTTACTGCATTTATGCTGGTCGCTACTCTCGTCCATCTAAAAGCAGTCAAACAACACTATCCGCTCACAAAAAGCTTTGAACTGCATTGCATGATGGTATATATAACGCTTGGATAGTGGTTGATTTTGGTGGGCGGGGCTTAGAGGGAGGCAAAACATTCCTCCAGACAAGTTAGCCAACACTAGCAAGCGAGTTGTTTGTTGGCTTGCTCTCGACATTTACAAAAGGCAAATATGAGTCTCTCTGATTTTTTGAAGTCTCTTGGAGTCTTAATGGAATCAGTCAACACTGACAAACGGGAGCGGGCTGGCCGACATTTACGCTCTCCTAACCAGTTTGTTTAGTATAGACAAACTGAGGCAGATAAGTCCTGAGATGCCGAGAACTATTTCTTGGAACGGCCATGTACAGGATTTTTAATTCCACAATTTAACTAAAGAGTTTTTTGGCGTTTGGCCCAAAGTTCTCCCCGGCCAGCTGCGAGTAGAGAGAACAGCCATGAACAAGGTTTGGGTCATGGTCAATCGAGCAAACCACTACATCATGACGGCGAACTTCGCTTGCATGGCTTAGTATGTAGTGAACCTCCAGCACATATTTGAAAGTGATATCTGTTCAGCTTTACATGTTATGAAACTGAAATGTGTAACAACCATTAGCCACACATGTTATGTTAGCTATGTTATGAGGTTGGCAACATGTTGACGGGCAGTGGCGGCTGGTATACAGTAGATTTTCAGTTTCGAGACATTAATGTCTGGGGGAGCTCGGAGTAGAGCCGCTACTCCTTCCAATCAAAATGAGCAAGTTGAGGTGGTTTGGGCAGGTGATTAGGAGGCCTTCTAGACGCCTCCCTTTGGAGGTTTTCAGGGCACACCCAACTGGGAGGAGACGTAGAGGCAGACCCCGAGTTCACTGAAGGAAAAGTCAAGCCTGGGATTGCTCGGAGAAGTCCAATGTTTTTGGACGATAAAGTTTATTGAATTTGGAACGTTGATGAAAAAGAACTCTTACCTGACAGAAGTAGAAGCAGGTGAGTCTTTTCCATCGCTGTTTGAAATGAAAAAGAAGAAAAGATGTTCTTACTGCAACATTTCTTCTCACCGTTATCTGTGGAGCTCGAAATATAATAATTACTACAAACTCCAACTACAGAGAATCAGCAGACCCACTCTTCATCAAATTAAAAACACTGAAATTCGAGGACCTGGTTGACTTTAAAAGCATTCGAATCATGTAAAAACTTAAAAACCATCAGCTACCGAACAGTATCCAAAGATTTTTTCTTTGGATAGGGAAAGTAAACACAACCTCAGTGGAACATTTATGTTAAAAAAAAAAACAGCAATAAGGACCCACCTGAAACTGCACTGTATCACAACTAATGGTGTTAATATATGGAACAGCTGCAGTGATGAAATAAAAACATGTCAAACATTGGGACAGTTTAAAGACATTTTCAAGAATAACATAAAGAATACATGAAGGAACAGTCAATGAGAAAAACAGAGTTAATATCTGCTGTCAAGTCTGTACCATCTACCAATAAATATGTGTTATACATTATATTTGTTGGGAGACTATAGATAAGCAGGAAGGTGAAACCACACTATTTACAGTCAACCAAAAAAGTTTATTTGGAAACTAATGTTACGTACGGTTGGAAAACAAGGGAGGTGGACCCAAGTGTAGAAACCAGAAATATTTAATTAAACAAAAAGGCCAAAGGCAACAAAACTTTATTTCAAAAGTTCAACAAAAAACACAGGGATCAAAAACAGGGAGCCACAGAGGAGCACGAGCAAAACTGACATGCATACAACACACAACGAACTGACACAGTAGGGAAGAAACACAGAGACTAAATAGACACAGGGGTAATCAGACGCAGGTGAGACTAATGACACAGGTGAGGACAATCAGGGCAATCACACTGAAGGGAAACACACAGAGGAAGGAATGGACACAACTACAAAAT